CCTTTTTTACTGCTAACCAATTTCCTATAACTCCAACACTTAAGCTAACTCTCCTGCCAATTTGGTGGGGCCGAGGGTGTCAGTGGGAAGGACAAATGAAGGGGAGGGTTGTGTTCATTAGAAATGTGTCACACCAGCCCAAACAATAAGTATATGAAAAAATATTCAACCTCAGGAGTAGTCAGAGAAGTACCAAGGAAAAGCACAATGTACTGAGAAACTTCTATCAGAACAGCAAACAGCACGATAATTTGCAGTGCCGACAAGCAGGTTTAGGAAAAGTTCCCTCATGTCCTGCAGGGGAGAATGTGTAATTGGTACAACCTTGCTAGAGGGTAAAAAGGCAACACAACCCAAAAATGCCACGTCCAGAAATTTATTCTAAGGAAATAATGTACCCAAAGATGTACGTAGGGATATTCGTTTCAGCATTATTTATGCCAATCTCTGAAAAATTAGAAACAACCTAAATTTTTGAAAGTAAAGAAAAAAAGTTAATTATGGTACATTAAAAAGCTAATTGATATAGCATGCAAACTTATAAAAGAATGTTTATTTCACAACGTTATTGAAAAGTTAGACTATGCAAACAACATGTGTGTAATATTACTATTTAAAAATTCAAATCTATATGTGTGTGGAAGAAGGCTGGAAAGAGTAATGGCAAATTGCTAATTAACACTGGGTATCCGTAGGCTGCAGGCTCACTGCTGACACCTGTTTGCTCATTGGTAGGGCTTGTTGGTAAAAGACATTAAACAAGACTCTCACTGTCGACTAGAGGTATTAGCTCAGGCCCCAGTGACCAAAATACCATCACAGATGCTCTGTATCCTGACATTCCATAAGAGATGGTAAGAATCCATGCTGGGAGCCCAAGAGGCCTTCTAAAGAGCTAAGTGGTCAGAGTGTGTGGTTTGATCCCAGCTCACCTCCCATCATCCAGGGAGGAGGGGAAGAGGCTTCCAACTCACCTCCAGCCAAGTAAGAGGCATTTCATGGGAACCACTTAGGACATGGGGTCTAAATCAGGTTCACATCTAAAGAATCTGAAGTCCAAGTTGATCACTGGCAGTGTACTTCTCATAGGACAGCCAGGAGAGGGGGCTGCCTTGGGGGTAAACATCCCTGCAGGAGACAGTCCACTTGGGGATCACTTTAAAAGTGGGAAGGGAACGTGAGTGTCAGAAGGGGGAC